AACACATCTGTATTTCGCATTCGTAAGAGGGCTGAAAAGACATTCTGGCTGGATGCAAACGTAAAATTCTTGATGGTTTCAAGATTCTTTAGTACAAAAACAACAACTTTAATCAAATAAAATAGTATTTTGAATTAAGAATAGTTGATGGTTTTAAAAGGTAAGCTGTTGGGAATGAATATAGAAGGCAACATAATGACAAAATTGATATACTAAGCGAAAGTGAAAGGATGTAGAAACTGGGGGACGACAAGACACACCTTCCACAATCGGATTGGTCGCGTGGCATCTAATAGTAATATAAGAAGCAATAAAAACCGGCGAATTTGTACGAATAGAATTGTCAATGTCAAGGAATCTAAAGACGTAAAGACCGTGCCTTTTTTTGTCTACCCCGCAACACATCTTGAATGAAATCATAAATTCATTTGAAAATTCACACGGGAACAAAATATTGGTTACTTCACGCCAGAAGACAGTTCTTGTAGTCCTGTACGAAATGTTTTTTTTTTTTTTTCAAATTATTATTAACGCAGAAGGCGTTTTTACTATGCTGTAAATACATAAAAAAAAAATTAAAACTAATGCTACTTTAACGGTTGATTGTGCTTGATATAAATATAAGAAGTTATGATAAAAATGCTATCATAACTGATACCATTATATCATGAATTGTTTAATCGCAGTGGCGATGGCGCCCTGCTCTTATTTTTGCGATAATTACATTTTGTTATGTAATAACGTGATTATTTATAAATTTACCCGGTAAATGATTTGACTTCTTTTGGATTCGAAATGCTCCAATTTTCATTGATAAAAAATGTACTTTCTTTACTACGTTGTCTAATCGCTAATTATCTAATTCTGCTGATGCAATTAATGTCAAAAACTTTTGATTATTTGAAATCATGCTGCGATTCCACGCTATTTATTGCCTACTTTTATAGTATAATCAGGTACTACCTTATTCCATGGTGGGCAAATTGATGATTAATTATAAGTAACTACCCGACCTGGCAATCTACATGCCATGCATATTTTACTAATTTAGTAATTTTTATTTTACTTTTTACCCGACTGCGCGACGCAAAGGAGGGTAATGTGTTTATCAGTCTATGTATTTATGTATGTATGTATGTTTGTTTCTATGTGGCGTTCTAGAGACCAAATGCGAAGGCCGATTTTGATGATTCTTACGTCAATCGATTTGTCTTAACCTTGCGAGTGTCACTAAAGACATGACAGTAATCAAAATTCACCACAGAGACAACCAGAAGCCATATTGTCAAAATGAAAAAAAAATCGACCAACTATGTCAAGTGGGGTGTCGTTGAATAGGTATTTTAAAATTATCTTTAGGTTCCTTTTATCACTTTTCATTTTAAATAATAGTTTAGAATATACTACGATTTAAAGTTGTTTAACAAAACAATCATATTCGCTAATTTTCTTACTTATTAAGTTTTTATTTAAAGTATAAACGATATACAAACAAAAAAAGTATGAAATAAAAATAAATAATTAAAAGAAAAACAAAAAACCCGACTGCGTAAAAACAAATTTTAAAAAATACATGAAACAATTAACTTCAATAAAAACTAAAAAGAAAAAACAAGCCCAGTAGTTTAGAATTATGTAAATACTAAATAACTAAACAATTGAAATAGTTTTATAATCGATACACACATAAAACAAATAATAAATTCTAATGCAGAACAGAACTCATAGTTGGGGCCCCTTGGGAAGATTTGATTGGTAAAATTTGAATGGGCCCCGATCTTCCTGGCAACACGTCTCCTCAGTAGCAATGGACAATGCTCGCGTCGTAACTTACGAAGACGATCGTTTAAAAAGTGAACTTTCCTACGGCTATAGGTCTTTACCGTAAGATCTTATTTCAATATTCTATTCACTGAAACGCGCGAAATATTAGTCTGCAGAGCGGGTTTCTTCCGAGCGCGACATGGATTTCAGCGAGGTCGACCACTCCTTTGGCGACTTTGGCGAGAACTTGTCTCTTTGTACCGCTGTATTGTGTAATAGACGAAGTTACGATTTACTGGAAAACTTTTCAGCTCGCGGTTAATCTGCATCGGTTTTTTTTCCCGTCTTAATTAGCGAAATGACAGTTGCACGTAATTGTTTCGTTCTCTCCATCACGAGAAAATATAAACAAATGAATTTGCTATACAAATAAACTAAAAGTTAACATTCCAAATTCGAAATCGGTAAAAAAAATAACAGCCAGTAACATTTTATTTAATTTTTTCAGTAAAAAGTTTATCTTAAAACTTATGATATAATTAATACACGAGGTATTTCAAGAGTTTCTAATCGAACATAAACGTCTGTTAAGTACTATGGGTAACAGCATGTTTCTATTCCATTTATTGAATCTTAAACTTTCCGCCTTTATAATTTAAAGAATGAACAATATTTAAAACGTAAGAACCTGTTAATCATATTAATACTATTTTTATTTTCAATTCGATTTTATTTGTCTCTGGTATGCATGTAAGAAAACTATAAATTCAAACGTAAAAGCGATATTAAAAGAAACAGATACTCAATATCAGTTCAGAATCGAGTTTATTGGTGATTTACGTGCACCACTCTCAAACCTCTGTACTCTGTTATACGTTCATATATAAGATTCATTGATGATTTGTTGGTCTGTCACTATTCTCATCCTCAATCAATTATAATACAAAAATAGCGCGGTGTCGTACCCCACGTTTGCTTCTGATTGATCGGTAATGTTCATACGCGGTTTATATTTATGTATTTGCGTCTTTGGCGTATTATCGAAAACCTCTTGATCCGCATTCTGCCTCTGGTACTTCTATTTCCGCTGAAATCGTTAGAGTGGTATTGTCTAAATCATGTTTTGATGTCGTATAGAATATCAAAAGCGTTATAGAACATGTTTGTTCTATATTAAATTCTAAAGCGATCCGGTTGTCTGCCAAGTTGTGGCTATATTTATATTTTTGTAATCAATAAATTAATTATATATAAATAATGTTAAAGAAAACCGTGAGGTAATGACTTTATTTCATAAAATTGAGCTAAACTCGACACAGACCTTCGAACCTACTTGTAAGAATCACAAATTATGAAGATATCGAGCGTTCTTACGATACGATCTAGATTCTGAGACAAATGCGGCTTTGTTATTAAAAAAACTGTTCTACTTCTATCTACTTAGACAGATTTTGATTTCCGTGTGAATGTCAAAACATGTGACTTATCTTTTGATTGTTTTAACTTTAAAGTTAGATTATTTTACAGATAAACATATACCGTGTCCAACATTTGAAGTTATATACTACTATATTAAGTAGATCGGAGGTTTTTGTTAAGGTTTAATTCTGTTATATATTATCGTAATATCACGAAATGACTTTGTATGTAGAAGCATGGACCTTGGTACATGACAAAAGAAATAGTATTATCATTGAAAATTAAGACAATTAGAAAAGCACAAAATTTAATGTGTATAAAAATAGAAATCCATTCTTCCAGTCACTGAATTCGGATTGACGATTCGTTTATTCCTGACGCCGGTATCATTTCGATATCGACTACGCCTGTGTCAAGTTAGGGTTAACAGGCGGAGTGGTGCTTTCTTTCTGTAATTGAATTGAGCGACTCAATTCATTTACCATCTGCCGATGGCGTTTTAATATAGCTCGTTTCAACTTCAACTCCCGAGGCCTGCTTTAGATGTACATTCTTTATTAATTCAAGTTAAAAATTGGTAAAAAATCTCTTTCTCGCAAGTTCACAGGATTCATTGCATACTTTATTCTATTAGTCAGGTTATATTAGGTCGTATAAGGAGGTGTACTAAAAAATTATTTCCTTGTTTGTGGCTAGCGACGGTCAATTTAGTTCTACAATTTTATTGTAGAACTAAAGGTAGGCAATCTACTAATTCAAATGAGAGAAAACCTTTTAAAAAGAAAAGTTCGTTACACATACTCTGCTCTATATTAGTATCGGTAGATTAATTTGTAATATTGTTTTATTGCGCTGGTCTAAAGCTATAGTATAATTATAGTTAGTTTCTGTTTTTAAACTACTTAAAAATATAAGCAAGAATTTCAATGTTACTGATCTCATCATCATAAGCCTTATGTATGGTGAAGGATATCATGACTCTTCACGCTGGCCTAATGCAGATTGGAGGATGTTAACGACTGCAAATGTAGCCGAAACCAACGACTTAACGTGCCTTCCGAAGCACGGAGTAGTTCTAGTTAATATTTTTTTGTCATCCATCCCGTGACCGACCAATGCCAAAGTTGCTTAACAATTCTGTAAAAGTCCATATCCTAATTCGAATTCACGTTGTTTAGTGCACAAATTCTATTGATTCTCTTTTCGTATAAAAATACAAAACAAAATATATGTACGTGTCTCAGATATTCTATTCCTATGTCATTTCGAAACTCACTTCACTTATGCCACATAAGTTATTACCAATTCAAGATTGAGCGGATGCCGCTTTTTGAATTCGGCCACCTGAATGAATTCGAATTCGGGTTTGGATTTTTACAGATTCGCAGGGCCGATGTTCTTAAAAATCTATACTAATATTATAAAGCTGAAGAGTTTGTTCGTTTGTTTGAACGCGCTAATCTCAGGAACTACTGGTCCGAATTAAAAAAATCTTTTTGTGTTGAATAGACCATTTATCGAGGAAGGCTTTAGGCTATATACCATCACGCTGCAACTATTAGGAGCGAAGAAATAATGGAAAACGCGGACGATATCGCTGGCGGCCTCTAGTATTAAATAAAATTTTGAGCAGATTAGTTTATTCTAAAAATCTAAAGTTTGAGATACAGTATATGATAAGCTTAGTTGTAAAAAAAATCATGTATTTTGTTATGTTGTGGTCTAATAAATATTATATATTGTTATTATTGCAATTATTAACTCTCGTACGGTAATTATCAAAATCTGTCATAGTAACCATAGATTTTATATTGCAGAGGAAGAGTGCTACCACTGCATGGCGAGTCTGGTAGCGTCCAAAGAGAAAATGTTCATCACACAGACCAAGCTGCTCAACGAGGTCACCTGGAAGACTGTTATGCAAATTGCAAAGAAACATGCCGTAAGTATATTTCGGTGTATTATAGATATCTGATTATTTAATCTTTCAACTAATTTTGGTATGTAATATGAACTTTCTATACGTGACTATGTAACTCCACTTTTACTACAAACTCCACACTAATATCTTACGACTACATTTTAATTTCATGGGAAATCGTTGTATGCCATTTTTTTTATATACATATATTGGCATAAACGAAACATCATAAGTGCATAAAAAGTAGTTTAATAGTTTTAGCTGTTTTCTCGCCACTTCGCCCGCGACATTTGTAGCTTAAGTCACCCGCGTATGATGTAGTCTCCTGTAGGTGAAAGAACTTTAAAAATCGGTACCCAAGTTTCGGACTAACAACAAATAAACAATAAAATTTTTCCTTTATATAATAAGATTATGATTGAGTTAAATTACGCGATTTAAAAAGATGAAGTAGGAGTGCGATTCTTACACCGAAGATTTTTTACTATAAGTAGTTACTCATATTTGGTAGAAGTTTCTTGAATCTACTATTTAAAAGTTTCTTGAATCTACTGTTTAGAAGTTTCATGAATCTACGGTAAAATGCATCTTTTTTACTATAAGTAGTTACTCGTATTTGGTAGAAGTTTCTTGAATATATATTACACTTCTAAAGATAAGTATAGACTAGCTTCACGCCAGTTGCTCCGCCCGTGTGGCCCCCATGGTACACTCTAAAAAAAAAATGTTAAATCAAACAATATTGTGATATATGTGACCAAGCATCTTGTTTCCATATGAGCCTGACAAGATGTTAGATACATTTAATAAGATGGCTTTTATTATTTTTACTATAGTTACTTTGTTAAGAAAGTAAGATTTCATTCAATTTGTTCATTATAAATAACTATAGCAACTACCTCCTAGTCTTCAATTTAAATAAGATCGTAGTCGATATGTCTATGATATGTGACTGTATGAACAATTTACCACAGTTGATTCAACCAAGAGGTTGGTAAAAATTAACATGAAACGTGGCTAAACTAATCAATTTACGAAAGTTAATTTGACCAAAGAGTTGGTCAATTTAACCATGAAATATGTACTTGCCAATTTACCGTAGTTCTTTCAACCGATAGGTTAGTCAATATAAGCATGAAACATCATTGTACTAACCAATTAACCGAAGTTAATTCAACCAACATGTTGGTCGATATTAATATGACACTTGGTTGTTTCAAACAATTTACCGAAGTTAATTCTGCCAAAAGATTGGTCAATTTAAGCATGAGATACGACTAGGGATGTTCAAATATCGTCGATATATCGAAAGTACTCGATATTTCCATACGATATATCGGATTGTTTCGATGTTTTGAAAAATATTTTTCTATTCGATATATCGAATATCGATACATTTATAACACAATATCGAATCGATTAAATAACGTTGACAGCTGACTTATGATGACAATAAAAGCTAAAGTAAATTTTAACATTACAACATTTTCACTTTGATTTTTATAACATGACATCAAATTTTCAGACGTCCTAGGGCGAGTTGTACTCGGTAGCTAAGTCGTGCCAAGCCAATTGCTAATCTTTTGTTGTAGCCCCATCTGTTTTCTTGTTTTCTATAATAAGATATTTCTCCACTTATTTAAGTGTGAAATTAGGTGCCCTGGATCTTTTCATTATTTTAGTTCGGCAGTACAAACGGTTTATTGGTATTTTTGAGTTATTAATAAACAGTTTTACTCTACTTTATGAATAACTATGAATGATGAATGGCGCGGCGACTTCAAAAAAATGTATGTTGATATAGAGTTTTGATAAAAACGATGATGACGTTTGTTTTTCTAAACTGATTTTATGGCGCCGGACTCTAGTCTTTTCATCAAAAACGGAACATAAGGAATGAATGGTGAACGAATAATATGCTAAATCTCGGTTTAGTTAAACTAGTCATGATTTTAGGATCTGCAAGATAACTTAGTTAGATTTAAGTTAAGTCGAGTTTAAGGCTAAGTCTGGATTTAATTAAATCGAGATTTTGGAAATTTAACTGCACGTGGGCCTAAAAAAGGAAAGCATTGAAATTTTCAAAAAAATACTCGATATTTAAAAAATATCGATGTTTTTATACGATATATCGAAAAACATCGATATCAGTTACCGATATTTTATATCGAGTATTTATATCGATATATTTTTTAAGTGGACACCCTTAGATACGACTATATTAATCGATTTACCAATGGTAATTCAACCAAGACAACCAACCACTTTAGCCGTTTGATCATTCTGAACTTTTGGTCCACAGCGGGTCAGATTTTAAACTCTGACCACAGCTCAGAGCCTAACCAAAGAGCTAAAGTAAATAACTGGAATGGTTGGTTTCGAATCCCATATTAAGTTTAGTTTAAACGGCATATTACTTATACAATCTAACGATATAAACTGATACCGCGATGCATTAAATGAACAACGCCATCTAGTTTGCAGACTTAAAACTATTCGGGCACCTATGAAGATGATGGGCGTGTTTCATACGAGGGTCAAACTGAAAGTTCTTAGAACTGGCCACTTATAAACAATATAATAAAAAAATAATTCTAAAATTTGAAAATATAACTCTTTGCCAATATTACTGAGTAAATATTTCATTCATTTGTCATTTGTTTTACGATTTGGCGGCAAATTGAAAATTGTCTGTGTCACGTCATCATGAATTTAACACGAGAAAATTTTCGTGCAATGATTTTTTATGACTTTCGATGTCATTTAAGTCAACAAGAAAGTTATGATAGACTACGATTGGCCTTTCACGATGAAGCCCCATCTCGTGCGACTGTTTACAACTGGTTTAATGAGTTTAAACGTGGTCGCACTAATCTCACTGATGATTTACGTGAGGGACGGCCTTCTACGGCGACGACTGAAGATAACATCTGTGTTGTGCGGCGTATGATAGAGACTGACAAAAGAGTGACCTATCAACAGATTCGGACAAGCTTAGGCATCGGTATGAGTCAAGTGCACAAAATCCTCCACGAACATTTAGCGGTCAGGAAGCTTTGCGCCCGGTGGATACCTCATAATTTGACTGAGGCTCAAAAACTCCATCGTGTGGATTGGTGTCGTAAAATGATTGAAAGATTTAACGGAGGTGACTCAAATGCTGTGTTCGACATACTAACAGGTGACGAAAGCTGGATTTACTGTTATGATCCTAAAACCAAAAGACAATCTGCTCAGTGGGTGTTTCCTTTCGAGGAGTTGCCAACTAAAGTGAAGAGAGATCGAAGTGCGGGAAAAAAAATGGTGGCCTCGTTCTTTGGAAGGATAGGTCATTTTGCAACAATTGTGTTAGAGGATCAAAAAACAGTTTCTGCAGAATGGTACACTACCAATTGTTTGCCACTTGTCTTGGAAAAAGTTCGAGAGAAACGACCTCGCAGTAGGATCCTCCTTCACCACGACAACGCCTCGTCGCACACCGCCAAGCGAACGATCGACTATTTGGCGACATCAAACGTTGAATTACTGGGTCACCCGCCGTATAGCCCCGACCTCGCGCCTTGTGATTTTTATTTATTTCCAAAAATTAAAGAAAAACTTAAAGGAAAGCGGTTTATGAATGCTGAAGAAGCGGTGGCTGCGTATCGCGATGCCATTGAAGAGACCCCTAAGGACGAGTGGGCAAAGTGCTTTTCCCAGTGGTTCCATCGCATGCAGCGGTGTATTGACGTGAATGGACAATATTTTGAAAAGATATAATAAAACTAATAACTGGCTAATGTAATCAGTTTTTGATTTTCTAAGAACTTTCAGTTTGACCCTCGTATTAACATGTTGGTTGAATTAATCTTTTTCATAACAATATTCAAACAATATTCTCGCAATAGAAAAGTGAATTTGATAAGTTTGTGTGGATTTAACAAAGTCACTCTTTGTTGGCACTCGCTTATCTTAGTTGATTCATATAAGACAGTATTTAAATCAATCAGAATTTGATAATTATTTTAGCAAATACATTGTTAGTAGCATGAACAGCTTAATTTTAGTTAGTCCAATAATGTCAAGTAGTTACCATTAATCATTCATGTTTTTGAATTGACTAAATAGTCTTTGTTGTTTGAAAAACAAAGGGTTTTTTTGGTTCTACTAACGTTCTTTGTTAAACCAAATACGAGAACTTATTACTGCAACAATAAAAATCGTCTTATCTATTACTTTACCTATTTATTTTGATTAATTTGTATAAATTGCTTCAACATACTTAGTTATTAAATTTAACTATTAAAAATAATCGATTCACACAAAAAATCCAGTAATGATAGATACGATAAATATATTTGATAGAATTAATCAGGGTTACCAAATTTTTAATTTAACCATACTTTAACTAGTTGGTTCAATGTTTCAGCTTTGGTTGATTTATGTAAATAAGTAATTGTTTTATTCAATATTATGTTAACCAAGAGAAAATCGCTCTTTGTTGGCCTCCATTTTTTAGAGTGTACCGTTTGGTGTGGTAAAATTTTTCTTAAAGATCGCTTCTATCTAATTTTTATTTAACACAAATGGAATGTTTACAAATCCGCAAGGCTCACGCTGATGTGCACACGGCCACACAATCCGGGTGCTTTGATTATAAAAATACAGCGCGTCAAAGCCATCGGAAGTGATGTATGCGCTAGAAATGAGCCAAGAATTTTTAACGCGTAAATCTCTTTTCAATGCCCAATTTTACGAGTTTTGCATTGCTTTGAAACAAATTTTTCCGCTCACTGTTTGTGTAAGATATCAAAATCGCTGTTTTCATTTCCGTTTTATATTATTTCGTTTTTTTTATAAACTCGGATTTAGGTCATGCCCATGGTTTATTGTGATTTGTGTAGGCATGAAAAATCATCGAAATTCAATCTGATTCCTATCGACCAGAAATGTCAATTATTTGTTTTGGAAATCGTAGTTCTATTTATTATAATATCAGTAGTTCCTTTTACAGATGTAACTGTGTAAATAATATAAAAATG